ATCCTTGGTCACCTGGAGTGGCTGTTTGCTCTCCTTCACACGCTTCATGAGTCCAGGGGCTGGGGCTGGGCTGGGTGGCACAGGGGTTCTGGGGGCCTTGGACACCTTCTTCTCACTGGAGGAGGGTTCACTCCCCGAACAGTGCCCTGGTTCCATCCCACTGGCCCCCTTCGCCCGGGTAGAGGACTTAGTCAGGCTGCTCTCCACCAGCTCATCGTCAAACTTCTTTCTCTTGATGAACCTGGAGGAGCTTCTCCATTTAGGGATGGTGCCCAAAGCCTGTGAGGAGGCCCGCTTCTGCCCTGCCAGTGACTCCTCATCCTCTGAGCAGCTGGCAGTGCCTGATCCCATCAGGGATGAATCTAGCAGCCCCTGAAAGTCTTTGTCCATCCTCTTACAGTCCCAAAGCCACTGGTTCCAAACCACAGGGCTAGAGGGAAGGATCCCACAGGCTCATCCAAGGATTCTGACCAGGTGAGCTTAGAGGCTGAGAAGAGAGTCATTCCTAGGCTGCCAGCTCCAACAGTTTCTCCGTGGCGACGGCAGCAGCCGCAGGGCCTAACATATATTTTTAATTTTAATGAAGTTCAATTTATCTATTTTTTTAAAAATAAATTTATTTATTTATTTGGCTGTGTTGGGTCTTTGTTGCTGGGTGCAGGGTAAGCAGCGAGCGGGCGCTACTCTTCATTGTGGTGCCTGGGCGTCTCATTGGGTGGCTTCTCTTGTTGCAGAGCACGGTCTCTTGGCACGCGGGCTTCAGTAGTTGTGGCACTCAGGCTCAGTAGTTGTGGCTCGAGGGCTCTAGAGCACAGGCTCAGTAGTTGTGACGCAGGGGCTTAGTAGTTGTGGCACAGGGGCTTAGTTGCTCCGCGGCATGTGGGATCTTCCCGGACCAGGGCTCGAACCCATGTCTCCTGCATTGGCAGGCGGATTCTTAACCACTGTGCCATCAGGGAAGCCCAATTTATCTATTTTTAATTTTTAAATTTTGCCTGTGCTTTTGGTGCCATACCCAAGAAGCCATTGCCAAATCCAATATCGTGACAACTTTTCCTATTTCTTTTCCTAAGATTTTTATTGTTTTAGCTCTTAGATCTTAGGTCTTTGATCTTCTTTTGAGTTTTTTGTATCTGGTGTAAGGTAAGGGTCTAACTTCATTCTCTTGCATGTAGATATCCAGTTTTCCCAATACAATTTGTTGAAAAGACTGTCCTATTCTGATTGAATGGCCTCAGCACCCTTGTTGAAACTCATTTGGCCATGTACGTAAGGGTTTATTTCCAGGCTCTTTATTTGATTCTATTTATCTATAGGCCTACTACTATAGATTTTTTTTTTTTTTTTTGCCTATGCTGTGCTGCATGTGGGATCTTAGTTCCCAGACCAGGAACTAAGTGCCCCCTGCAGTGGAAGCATGGAGTCTTAACCACTGGACTGCCAAGGAAGTCCCCTGACTACTGTAGCTTTGTAGTACATTTTGAAATCAGAAAATGCGAGAACTCCAATTTTGTTCTTCTTTTACCAGATTGTTTTGGCTATTTGAGGGGTCCCTTGAGATCGTATATGAATTTTATGACACATATTTCTATCATTTCAAAATGCATTGTTGGGATTTTGATAGGGATTGCAAGTAATCTGTATATTACTTTGAGTAATATTGACATCTTAACAATATTAAGTCTTCCAGTCCATGAACATGGGATGTCTTTCCATTTATTTGTGTGTTCTTTAATTTCTTTCAGCAGTGTGGTGTAGTTTTCCATGAAAAAGTCTTTCACCAACTTGGTTAAATTTATTCCTAAGTATTTTATTCTTTTGATGCTGTTGTAAATTGAATTACTTTCTTCATTTCCTTTTCTGGTTACACTTGTTGTTTGTGTACAGAAAGGCAACAGATTTTTGTCTGTCAGTTTTGTACATTGCAACTTTGCTGAATTATATTTTAACTTTTTTTGGTGGGAATTATTAAGGTTTTCTCCATATAAGATTGTATTGTCCGCAGACAGATAATTTTACTTCTTCATTTCTAAGTTGGCATCCTTGTCTTATTCCTGAGAGTACAGGAAAAGCTTTTTGTCTTTCGCCATTGAATATAAGGTTAGCTATAGGTTTTTCATATGTAGCCTTTGTTATGTTAAGGTAAGCTTATTCTATTCATAGTTTGTTGAGTGTTTATATCATGCAAGGGTATTGAATTTTGTTAGTGATTTTTTGCATCAATTGAGATGATTATGGGGTTTTTTCTTCCTGTATTGTGTTAATATGGTGTATTGCATTGATTGATTTTTGTGTGTTGAACCATCCTTGTATTCCAGGACTAAATTTCACTTGGTCGTGGGGTAGAATCCTTTAAATATGCTACTGAATTCAGTTTGCTGGTATTTTGTTGAGAATTTGCACATCAGTTTTCATAAGGTATATTGGTCTGTAGTTTTCTTTTCTTGCAGGGTCTTTGGTATCAGGATAACACTGGTCTCATAGATTAAGCTAGGTAGTTTTGGACTTTTCTTCAACTTTTTGGAAGAGTTTTTGAAGGATTTTTGTTAATTCTTTTTTTATGAGACTGATGCAGTGCTTACTGCACTAAGAAGGAACTTGTTAATTCTTTTTTAAATCTTTGGTATAATTCACCAGTGAAGCCATCTTGTTCTGGTTTCTTTTTTCCTAGGAAGTTTTTGATTACTGATTTAACGTCTCTACCTGTTTGAGGCCTATTCACATTTTCTATTTCTTCATAACTTAGTCTTGGTAGATTGTACATTTATAGGAATTTTGTCCATTTCATCTACAGAATCTAATTTGTTGGTGTATAGTTGTTCATAGAACTCTCATGTAACCCTTTTTATTTCTGTTTAATTGGCAGTAATGCTTACTCTTTATGATTTTAGTTATATGAGCCATCTATATTTTTTCTTAGTCAATTTGACTAAAGGTTTGTCTAATTTTTTAAAAAATCTTTTCAGGGAACCTACTCAGTTTTGTTTTGATTTTCTATTGTTTTTGTATTCTCTATTTGGTTTTTCTCTGCTCTAAAATTTATTATTTCCTTCCTTCTGTTAGCTTTGGGTTTAGTTTGTTCTTTTTTTTTCTAATCCATAACTCTCCTGTCTCTAAGGGCTGAGCTCTCTGAGCATATGAGGATTTTTTTTCACACTTCCCCATGGATATAAATCACTACATGAACATACTACCCACATATAGAGCACAATAATACTTGTTCTCGTCCTTGGGCTGGGGCCCCGTGATGGTGAGGGCAGCTTTATTCCCAATGATGGATCCAGAGAAGTGACCAGGGACCCCAGAGGAGTGGCTGTTTGTGCTGTAGATAACAGTTTGGGGAGCCTGGCCTGGGGTCTGCTGGTACCAGCTGGGGTGGTAACTGGTAGAGACTGACCCAGAGCTATGGCCACAGGTGAGGGTGACTGTCCCTCCTGGAGACACTGAAAGTGATGGCTCCTGGACCACAGTCTGAGAATCCACCCCTAAAACTGACAGGAGAGAGACAGGGCTTGTTATGGAGACAAGGTCCCCTGAGCCCCTACTTGTAGGTGCCCCCAAGGATGCATAGCCCTGGCCCCTGACCTGAGCTGTAAGTGAGGAGCCCGAGCAGAAACATCCAGACCATAGTGGGGACACTCCCAGGACACCAGCTCTTCAGCCTCCTGGGCTGGAGTGTGGGGTCCTCGGGCCTTTATATGCCTCCGCGACCCATTAGGAGGAGAAGGGGCCTCATGCAAATAAGCTTCCTGCCTCTCTGTGCCCAGTGTCCCCTGATGTCCCCTGGGGGAGGTCTCGAAGGAGGCAGATGCTGGGGCTTCACAGAGACCGGGGACAGCGTGGGGATGAGACAGAGTGATGGGGGCGACGTCTTTCACCAAATGTTCTCCCCAAGACCCTGGTGACCTTGGTCCTCCATGTCTTCCCTGGAGAGTCTGAGAGCTAAAGGAGGAGATGTGGTGTCCTCACGTCCTGCCCAGAATCTAGTCCATCCCAAATCTCACCCCATTCCTGGGTCATTTCTTCCTTCCTCAGTGAAACCCCTGCTTGTCTTCTTTGGAGGAGCTTAGCAGTCACTCCTCCTCCAGTAGTGAGCCCACTGTGACATCACAGAGCCCATGTCTGGGGTGTGAGGGGACAGGGGACTCCCTTGACTCAGCCCTGGACCCTGTCCTAGCAGCAGCGGTGTGGGGACCAGGGCTGGGAGGGCCAACACGTAGAGCTGCACGGCCAGGTTTGGGATGACAGCCTCCTTTTTTGAAGAAGCATATATTATATGACATCCCTTCAATTTAACTGCCAATTTTAGGAGAAAAATTCACAATGTCACATAGAAATTAAGATAACTCACAACATCATAGAAAACAGAGTTGAAATACATGTCACATAGCCAGAAATAAAAATAACGCTGTGTGTGAATAAGTATGTGTGAGCATCATGGGATGTTTTAAAACTCCCTTCCCTTTACATTCTGCTGTGGAGCCAAAGGACCAGGAAGGGTGGAGAAGCGATTTGGGATGTAAAGAGGATGAACAGGGAGTTCAAATTTCTTAAGTATTTGGGGAAGAGAATGTAAAAATCATGTTTAACTCACTGTTAATAAAATTATTATTTGGTATTCATGTTAGGTTTGCTGGTAAATTAGCTGTTTAATAAAATTCACATGATTCGTTTTCACATGCGTTTGAGAACCTCAACTCACAGAGGAGAAAAATATTCATACTAAATTATCTTGCTATTATACCAATGTATTGATGATAGTGTAGGGAAAATAGGCAATTCATATCTATCATGTTTTTTAAAAGAGACGGAGTATTAACACAAAAGAAAACCAAAGAATTAGGAACAAAAACACAAATAGTTTCAGTTTCCAAAATTCACTTAAGATGTTGAAAATAACAAATAACACAACAGTGAAAAAATGAAAAATAACATAAATAGTGACAAAGGGCCCCTGCGTTCATCACACTTTTGCCGTGAACACCCTGGGGGTCATGTTGTCACGGAGACAGTTCCCCCCCGAGGGGTCTCTTAGCCTCTGTCCAGGTATCACTGGAGGTCAAGTTTATTGAAGCAAGTTTATTTTGTTGTGTGACTGTCCGTCTGTCTTTGCCTGAACGGCAGGTATGGGCACTGACCGCATGACGGAGGAGGAGGAAATAAGAGGCCAGCGTGTTACACAGAGCTGAGAGCCCTTATGTCCCCTTGGGGCCCAGGTGCAGGAAGGTCACCCTCCAGTGAGGACACTGCTGCCCACATGGGCAAGAGCCAGTGGAGGGTGTTCCCAGCCTGCCTGGCCCAGGACCCTGAGCTCTCAGGACCAGGCCCGCAGTGCCCGCTGCTGGACTCAGACCCACATCCTCCCCCAGTTCACACATGCAGCCTCCTGGAAGGGCTTTCTGACACTGGCAGCTGGATCTTTCTGATGTCACCATTCAGGGCAGTAGAATGCGTCCCCTCTGTGTAGTTTGGGGCTGAGATATTAATTTCTCCAGGTCACTAATGACCTCCATACCCCTAAATGGAATGCTGACGTGCCAGGAATTTCAGGATTCCCTGATGTCTGAGTTTGATCTGACCTGCTCCCAGATTCATTACCAGAACATAACCACCTTGAACCAAGTGCCAGGCTTAAAATTCCCAGAGTACCCGTGGGTCATACCTGGTCATGATTCTGTCTGAGTCACCTTCCCAGGTTGATATGTGGTTGCTGTTGTGTTTGTAAGGTCTCCAGGTAGCGTCCCAGCGCTGATTGCACGTCTCTGTTCTTATTTCTGCCTTTGCTGTGAGAATATGATGTTCTCGCGGAAAACGTCTTTTTCTTGATTACTTCCATGGGTCTCGTTAACTGCTGAATGATACTGACAGTATTTATTTGCGACTCTGATGTATTTAAGATATTTTTAGTCTACTTTCATAATCTTTCTCAGTAAAATGTTTGATATAAAGATTGTGACTATAGGGCTTCCCTGGTGGCGCAGTTGTTGAGTCCGCCTGCCAATGCAGGGGACATGGGTTCATGCCCCGCTCCGGGAAGATCTCACATGCCATGGAGTGGCTGGGCCCGTGAGCCATAGCCGCTGAGCCTGCGCGTCCGGAGCCTGTGCTCCGCAACGGGAGAGGCCACAGCAGTGAGAGGCCCGCGTACCGCAAAAAAAACAAAAAAAGATTGTGACTATAAATGGCACTCTCATCCTTTCCAGGGCTTCCCCCTGCATTGCTGGACTTAGAAACCCTTATGTCCTGTTACCTGAACTTATTGGATCCGGGTCAAGTTCATTTGTTAAACTCCATAGATTTAATAGGGGTGGGTATATAAGGTCTGTGTCCAAAATAGTGATATTTATCCAATATCACCCCAAACAAAGGACCAGAGGGGGAAAGGTATGACAGGTCATGAAGCAAAATAGGAGAAAGTAAGCAAGTGACGGGTCTGAAAGCCGTGTCCTTAATGGGGAGGGTCTCCCAGGACCTGGAGACGAGGAGCTCCTCAGAGTGAAAGCTCCAGGAAAGGGGGGAACCCAGCTTGCTTAGGTGTCAGGGTTCAGGGCAGGAGCACAGAGCCTGGACCAGGAGAGGGACATGCAGGGGGTTGGCAGAGGCCCCCTGGGTCTCCCAGGGCACAGATGCTGGACCTCTGCTTCCTCGTCATCCTGCCCCGTACCTGTGATGGATCATTAGTATCTGGGCCCACAGTCATTGTGTTTGTACTAAGAGACCAGTAAGGAATAGAGACATTTTCACTGACGCCATAAAGATGGACCAGGATGAAAACATGAGAGTCTCAGGATTCAACAGCACAAGTGAAAGCAGAGGCCAAAGCTGAGCTGGTGTCGGTCACAGTCAGGGTCAGACAGGGGTGTGGAGGGCAGATTTTTATCTCACTTCCCCAGAGCACAGGAGTCCCTTGTGGCAGTGGCAGTGATTAGATATGTGACAGTGATACTCAGCCTCCTCACCAGGACGGCCCAGAGGTGACCAAGGAGGCCGTGTGGACAAACCAAGAGCCAGAGAGCAGCACTGAGCCCCCAGTGTCACTCACCTGTGTCCTGGGCCACAAAGGTAGGGCCTCTGTCTGCGATCTCTTGTCACTGTTGCCATGATAACCCCCATGTCCCTGCTGCTCCCTGTGCAGGAGAAGGTGCTCTCGGATCTGGGCTCATCAGGAGCGTCACAGGGGGAGGGGCACAGGCATGTACTGGGGAGTCCCTGCTCCTGACGGTCCCCAGCCCTACCCCCACCCCACAGTGTTGGAACTCCTCCAATGGGGTAGAGAGAAGAGGAGGACACAGCCAGCACCTGCGGGCTCAAGAGAACCCACTCCCGGGAGTCCCCTGGGTCCTGACAGCTGTACCCCTGACACCTCAAGTTCTCTGCTCTGACCCTCAAGGAGCAGAGTCCACGCTGTAGTGGACGGTCCACCTGCTGGGCTGGTCCCCGGGCTCTGCTGAAGATAAAACGAAGAATGACTCATTTCTTTATAGTAAGAAGAAAGGCCAGATCTACCTCTCTGGTTGCTTACACATGGATAAGCAGGCAGTATTTCAGTGCCATCATGAATTATTTTGTTTTATTTTTGTTCTAAGTTTTTAGGAGACTAAGAAGGGTTGAATTAAAAATTGGGAGTAGATCCATTACAAACCAGAATGTACTTCCAAGTACACTTTGTATATATACAATTTAATGTGAAATTTAAAAGTTGTCATGAAAAAGGTTCTGACAGGCTAAGGTTCTTGTTCCACTTTCCCATCTGCCTGTGTCTCTGTGAGGAGCACTGTTGTACCAGATTGCACAGTAATGGTCAGCCTCGTCCTTGGGCTGCAGCCGAGAAGAGTAGAAGCCCTGCATTGGCCAAGGCCTCTTTGGATCCAGAGAAGCGGCTGGGGACCCCGGAGCCCTGGTGCTTAATGGAGTCTGAGTTGTAGGACAGGAGGTACCAGGGAGGCCTCCCTGGCTTCTGCTGGTACCAGGTTATAACATAGCTGGCAACACTGTACCCACTGCTCAGGGTGCAGGTGAGTCTGGCTGATGCTCCCAGAGATGCAGAGAGGGAGGGAGGCTGAGTCAGCACAGGCTGGGAGACGGAACCTGCAGACACAGACACAGGGGGGAGATGGGGCAGGAGCTGGAGGAAAGATTCCAGGAGTCTGAGCCACACGGGCTGATGCAGGCTGGGGACTGAGACCTGGTCCCCACGGCCTGGCCCTCCCTGTGCAGTGAGAGAGGAACACGAGCAGGAGAGGAGTCCAGGCCATGGTGCTCACAGCCCCCTGGTCCCCACAGTGGGGCTGGGCTGCCCCAGGCCTCCTTTTCTCCCCCAGCCTCTGCCAGAGGAGGGGCTCCCGTGCAAATGGGTGTCCACCCAGGGCCCACCCAGCCCCTCCCTGAGCCCTGGTGCTGGAGCTCAGCTCACAGCCCAGACTCAAGAGGATGGAGGGCAGCTTCCCCCTTGGGACCCCCTGGGAGGAAGCACCTGCTGAGACCACGCAGGTCCCTGCTCAGGGGCCTCTGCCAGCCAGAGAGGACACACTGCCGAGTCCCCACCAGGGAGCACAGGCCGCGCCCCCAGGCCCAGCTCCTGGAGTGAAAGATCCTCCCTGAGCAGCTGTGCAGGGATCCAGGGCAGTCCCACAGCGCACCCTGCTGGTTTTATGTGGGAAAAAGAATCCCAGAAAATGTATAGTAAAAAAACCTATAAAATGCATCATTGCCTAGTAAGGTACAACATTGTCTACATCAGATATAACATGAGTAACAGACCAATTTCCTTATAAAATAGAAAATTTCATGGAACTGCTCCAAAGAATGACATAAGACACAGATAGTTTCACAGGAAACATTGAACAGAACTTCAGAGATCAGATGGTTCTGACTTATTTGCTTCATATTTTTTCACAAAGTTTGAAAAAATATACAATTTCCTAGTTCTTATAGAAAACATATAACAGCGATGAAAGCACCTGACTCCTTACACAAAACTATTACAGAATAGTAACATTAAATATTGATGAAAATGTTCTAAATAAAATATGAACAGAGATTTCTTACTAGATTAATAAATTGATACTTTTACTCCCATATACAAGTTGGGTTCCCTATTATGAAATACTTTAATATAATACCAATAATAATACAATATATTATTGTCTTAAATGATCACGAAAGAAACTTTGACCCAACCTAACAGCAATTCCTAAAAAAATCCACATAAAAATACAAACAGACAGATACCTTTATAATATGATAATACATACTACCTCACACACACACAGATAACATAGTCCTTAAGCCAGGATTTTAGGGTGGTTAAAGATCAGGAACAGGCAAAGGTGACCTTTAGCTCCATTATTATTCAACATTATTCTGCAAGTAGTAGAAAGTCAGTGAATGAAATGATGTCAATGGTGAGGACATAGCATTGATGGGAAGGACCAGCAGTTCTTCCTAAAGATCCAAAAGGACATTTCAGCCTCAGACAGGCCGGTGCTGGTGCAGAAGTGATGGCAGAGGTCTCCCCACTGAGGGACTAGCTGCAGACTGTGGCTAGTACAGGTAACAGCTGGTGACCAAGTAGAGATAGTGGAGCCGGGGGGCAGAGGGGAGTCTGGGCCACCTGCCCAGGGTGAAGAGAGCCTTGGAAGGTGAGAAGCATAGTCTGCCTCCCACTCAGGCTGCATCCTGAGTCACGTCAATCCTCACTTTATGGGGGGTCCTCAAGGGGGAAGAGAATGAGAACTGCAGACGCAGAAAAGCGAGGACCCCAGAAGAGGCACCTGGTGTGATGGGCCCAGGGGGGCTATGGACGGGGGCGCTGGGGAGAGGCTGGGGACTCACTCTGCCCCGTGCAGGACTCTGGACCCTGGAGACAAGGTCTGTGACACACAGCAGACGACTTGTCTTAAGCCAATGTCTTGCTGCTGAAACTCGGCCTCTGTTCACCAGTGACAAATAGAAACGCGGAGACAGAGTTTTGGGTGAAGTAAAAGAGTCGCTTTTATTGCTTTGCCAGGCAAGGAGGCCACAGCGGGCTAATGCCCTCAAGACTGTGTGACCCACCCTGGAGGGGGTAGTGGGGAGTTTCATAGTGTTCAAGGATCAGGGCATAATCAGCTCGTGGACAATTCTCGGATTGG